TACAATGCGGGTTTTAGTAGCCATACACTATACAAACACCTGTCCTTATCAGCAATGTAACTGTCAATAAACGATAACGACGTTTAATACTTTTCACCATCGAGCTTACTTACCGTAACTTTGGAGGCACTAGTGACTGTATTTTAGGTAGGTAAATCAGGTCAAACTCTAACGCCCGTATTCACAAACATTACTATGAGGTCTCACAGTGCGCGTGGACGCACAGGGTGACACACAAATCAATCACAGAGATCTATTAACGCTGTCCGTTCGATTTGCTGCTTCAATTAAGAAAGCATCGTTTGTGAATACGGGCGTAATTTTAAGTTGACTTGGATGGACACTGCTGAACATAGGCCTCCCCCAATGACTTCCACATCGCCCGGTTGGTAGTAGCTGCATCCAGCGCCTTCCTGCTACCTTTATGAGGTCATTGGTCTACCTTGTCTCTCCACGTCTCACGTTTTCCAGTACGTGGCCTCCACTCCAGAACCTTGCTGCCCCATCGGCCGTCAGTTCTGCGTACTATGCGCCCTGCGAATTGCTACTTCAGCTTGCTAATCCGTCGGGCTATGATTGGAGACGTAAACCACGTAAACTCGTAGCTTAAAGAAGCGAATGAAACGTTTCTTTATAATAATCCTACTAATATTATAAATGCGGAAAGTATGGATATCTGGATGTTTGTTACTCTTTCGCGCAAAAACTACTGAACGGATTTTGATAAAACTTTTCAGTTTTATTTATGACCCAGAATAACATATAGGCTATAATTTATGACGAACAGTGGCAAACTGAATTTTACGCGGGTGAAGCCGCGGGAACTGCTAGTACTACATGAAATTACAAAGCCAAAAAATCAAAAATAACGATTGAGTGAACTGTGAAGTGTGAGCACAGTATAAGTGTTTCTACGTACCTACTTCCCACGCAGACTCCTTCTTTTTCTTTTCTTTTTTCAGTTCATGCTATAGTTGTTAGATACGCTTAGTTTGGGTTTACTACACGCTCCTAGGTATTGTATTGAACAAACTGCTACCCAGTTAAACATACTAGCTTTTGCCCTAAAGTAGTATTTAATACAGGTAAGCAGGAAAGCGCTGGACGCAGGCCGCTACCAACCGGGTAACATGGAAAGCATTGGGGTAGGCCGATGATGATGATGATGATCAGAGTAGCACATAGGCTGTATTAAATAATCATCATCATCATAATCTCAGCCATAGGACGTCCACTGCTGAACATAGACCCCCCCAATGATTTCCACAATGGCCAGTTGGTGGCGGCCTGCATCCAGCGCCTTCCCGCTACCTTTATGAGGTCGTCGGTCCACCTTGTGGGTGGACGTCCTTCGCTGCGCTTTCCTCCACTCCAGAACCTTGTTGCCTCATAAGCCATCGCTACTCTGATGTATGAGCTAAAATGCTAAATCATTTAAGTTTAATCAAATTCGTTCAGTAGCTTTTACAACTACAAACATCCATCTTTAAACACTTTTGCTTTTATAATAGAAAATCGGGGGCAACAGTTAAATTAACACGTTAACAGCTACAGCCGTATCACAAGTATTTAGTCATCAACTACTTTTTGTTTTAACGTTTTGACACTGAATGATTTCTTCATTTGCGAGACAATAGAGTCGACACATCACCTGTCGAACTTTTTTACATTATTTATTAATACTCGGGCGTTCATTCCAGTACTTGTATAGGCTTAGCGCTCAACTCAGTCAGCACCTGAGGTATGGAAGCGGCACGAGAGAGGTGACCGTTGCCAGACGTCCCGATTTTGGCGGGACGTCCCGATTTTTAAATCAAATTTTAATGTCCCGCGCGGGACAGGCTCGGTCCCGCTTTTCGGAGAGACACTCACTTCACCAGACTATTTTTTGAAATGCCACATTATTCTAAAGAATAAAACTTTTTTAATTTCGATTTTTGTTTTTTTCTTTCTTTTTTTATTCTAAAGATGAATTTAACGATAGACTTAATCTGATATAAAATATTATTTTTTTGTTAAAATACATTTTCTATGGCTACTTTTGTTATATATTGTCACGTAAACGTAATTTTAAGTCAAATAAAAAGATAAATATTTGAAAACCTTTGATTATATACGTTTTTTACTATGTCCCGCTTCTGACGGAAGAATCCCGCTATTTACACTCAAAAAGTACCGACTTGGCGAAAAAAAAAACTGGCAACGCTGGGTGACATTGACATAAGACGTCAGTACGTGACAGAGCATGACAAGTCTGAAGCATATCTAAAGCCCTACTGACATTGACGTCTCAATAGCACCCTCTCGTGCCGCTACCAAACCTGACTGAGACGTACCTACGTAGACTACCTAGACGTATAATACTCGTGGGCTCATACTAGTATTACCAGTACACGTGGTAGGTAAAAGAATATGCGCTGTGTAGATAAAATCAGTCATAAAAACAAATGTTGACTGCTTTATCTAGTCTAGTCTTTATGCGCTGTTCAATATACTCAGAGGTCGCAGGTTCGATCCCTGTAGGAAGCAAGTGATGAGGACTGTTTTAGGGTATTTAGTATGCTATTAATACGATATGGTTGAGTCTTTGAATAAATAATACTAAAAAAAATATGCATCATCCTTAATCCTTCCTTACATTAAACACACACACACACACACACACACACACACACACACACACACACACACACACACACACACACACACAATACATGTTTGTTTTTCTTTTGTTATTGTAAGTTCATCGCATATTCAATTCATGTAGGTATTCAGTTAAAGCTAAATAAGTATTAAGTTATTTAATAGTAACCAAAATTTTTTATTTATAGCGTCTGTATTAGAGGAAGGCGCTAATGACTGCGACACAGTCTTTGACTACTGCAATCATTAACGTTTCATTTTGTCTATGCAAAATTGTAATTGGGTACAAATAAAGATTTTTTAAGTTAAGTTTAAGTTTAAATTAATGTTATCTTTTTGACCAGCATGAAATCAGTAAATAAATACAGTGTGAGTCACGTTAAAGTGTACATATGAAAATAGATGAAACTAGACCTATTTTTATCGACAAAAAAGAGGTCAAAATTTTTTGGAGATTTTTTTTTAATTTTTTATAGAATTTTTTTTCTTCCAATTACTTATTGTAAAGAAAATGTAATAACTTTTAAACTAAGCGGTATATCCTGATAAAATAAAAACAGTAATAATGCTAAATAACAGGCGATATTAAAAAAATACATAAAATACACAAAAAATGCCAACAAGTAATAAAAAATTATACTTTTTGAAAAAAATCTGCTTAAAAATTCGTGTTTTTTTGGTTATTTGATAAATTTCTCCAAAAAATGCCCCTATAACAGGTGGTTTTTATTGTTGTGTATTATTCTCTATCGTATTACCTTTGTAAAACCAAAAATTGCATGTCTCTATCCCTATCACAACATTTGCTATGATAGTTTGAACAAAGGCCTACCACAACATTATTCTCCTCTACAGGTAGGGACAATTTTAATTTTAACTAAAATGCTTATTTTACTTCGAAATCTTTTGTTTTTACTTGAAATCTAACTTGTCTTTATCAAAATTACAAATCTAGAGCCATTTTCAGTTTCGTTGTTAACGAAGCGTTGAATGGCGCGCCCGGAGAGGCTTAGTTCAAACGATCATAGCAAATGTTGTGATAGGGATAGAGACATGCAATTTTTGGTTTTACAAAGGTAATACAATAGAGAATAATACAAAACAATAAAAACCACCTCTTAAAGGGGCATTTTTCGGAGAAATTTATCAAATAACCAAAAAAACACGAATTTTTAAGCAGATTTTTTTCAAAAAGTATCATTTTTTATTATTTGTTGGCATTTTTTGTGTATTGTATGTATTTTTTTAGTATCGCCTGTTATTTAGCATTATTATTGTTTTTATTTTATCAGGATATACGGCTTAGTTTAAAAGTTATTACGTTTTATTTACAATAAGTAATTGGTAGAAAAAAAATTCTATAAAAAATTAAAAAAAAATCTCAAAAAAATTTTGACCACTTTTTTGTCGATAAAAATAAGTTTAGTTTCATCTATTTTCATATGTACACTTTAACGTGACTCACACTGTATACTTTATATTTTGTATGATAACTCTTAATGAACGCAAGAAACACGTGTATGAAATTGATTTCTTTCATCATCAGAACCAAATGGTAAAATGACACCTGTTACAACTAGACAAAATGTCACATGGTTAGCATTATGAATGGTTGTTTGATAAAATTTATTTGATTTAGGGTAAGTTGCTGGCAACGGTTGAAGAATAGCCCAATATGTCACACTATCCTTATATCCTAAGGCTCTTTATCCAAAACTGACTTGAGCTGATGCTCATGATGAGTAACGGATGCTAAACTTTCCAACATCAGTAATTATCACCATTCTCATTTCTAGCATTTACATCACGTCCTACCACTAGCACCGACAATAGATGTGTAACAAAAGTGAGAACGCAATACATAATAATAGAGAGAAAGATAATATTTCTCTCAAAAAAAGGAGCAAATCGCCACCGAAATGAAATTAAAATCCACAAAAACTCACGCGCGTTTAGCTGAAACATCTGTCAAAATAAAACTAACTCAAAACATGTGGGTGCACCATCAAACAAATTCGCAGCTTATGTGAATGATCTAAGTATTAAAATCCAAGGAGATTATTGCACTCATTTCGCTAACGATGCTTTGAAAATGTGCAGATCAACTGCTTTACGTTTGCCGTCATTAGCATATCTCAAGTCTTGACCGCTACACAATTCTAGATCGTAAGCGCATGGTTATAAAGACCAAGTGATTTCTGTCAAGATATTCAAGGAAGCAGTTGATAAGTTTGTCGCAGTTAGAATCAGAGACCACGACACGCGCCGGTCAGGAGTAATCAAGTGACCACAAAACATAAAATATAAAAAGGGTGACTACACTTGAGATGATCACAGTTCAGTTGCAGTTAGAGCGAGGTAGACGTGTGATCATCATTATGTTCAGGTTTCTGGTTGTATCGTTAGTGGCTGGTGCTATGGCCATGCCTAATCAGAGTACGGAGACGCCCGCGGAGGCTGTTCGTGTGAGCAAAAAGGACTGTTCAAGTGGTATCTTCAGCCCTACGTGCCTTAAACTTGGAGTTTTGAGTTTGGTGGAGAAGCTGAGTAATAAGGATGAGGTGGCTTTGGTGCCAGGAGTGAGTTTGGTGAAGGACCGTGATGCGAAGACTGAGGCTGTTGACTTCGCGAGGGCGCTGTCTTCGGAGCCAGAAGAGCGTTTGGACAAGTACCTTCTGTTCCACGTTGGGACGTTCCTGGATACCCATTCTGTGAAGCTGAGGTTGCTGGATGAATCTGCTGTGGAAGAAGCCAGGAGCATGATGAGCGAGGGTCGAGCGAAGAACCCATTGAGCATGGGAGGAAAGAAAGGAGGCATGGGAGGACTGATCGCCATGGCTATGATGATGAAGGGTAAGTCGATTTGGTTCATGTAAATTGCCGTATTAGCATAAATGTTACAAGCATATGAAGTGTTTATTGCGTGCTTGCATTAATTTTATGGTACTCGTGGGTGGGTACTTATTCTAATTAGCACGTTAACATACAGCCTGTTCATTTAACAGCACGTGATATAACTAAAAATTGCAAAGCTCTGTAAAGCATATTGCAATGTGCTCATTCATAATAATTCTAAAAACTCATATTCTCAGTAAGTTGGCTTTCAAAGAGTTATTTAAACGTCTCAATAATAGCTTTTAATAAAACTTGCTCTTCGAATCCCGGAAGTATCTAAAAAAGAACCTCTAAAGTCGTAAAATTTTAGAATAAATAATAAAAAACGTTACATGTTGAAAATAAATCGTAAAGGTCAAGAAAACCCTCATAAAAGGTTTTAGTACGAAAAGTTTATCAGCATTGGCTATCTATCAATGCCTCTAGGGCACATTAAGTTTAACAACTGCTCTACAAATATCGCCCTTATTTCTTAAACCATTCGGACGATGTAGATGTAAACAAGACAAGCTTTATAAGCACTACTTGTGCTTGCTATTAGAGTAAGCAGGAAGCTCTTGCACCAATACAATCAAAATAGGTTTATAATAACTTCAGTTGAAACTTCGAATAAAGACAAAGAAAAATGATCTTTTAATTGCAAGGGATTGAGAGTAATTTGCCTTACTCTAGATTCAATCAATGATATTTTTAGTAGAGAATCTCTCAACCATGACTTTTTATATGAAATTGAAATACAAGTTCGTAATTAGCTGACCGTATACAACATTGCTAATGTACTTTATTAATTATATTGTAGATTATATCTCATGTCAGATATAAGTGGATTAGCTGATCGGTCTAGTAATTCTAGTTTTTGATGAAAAAAAGTGGTCGTGGGTTTGAAACTTGTAAAGGATACCGAAATAAATAATTATGTGTTATTAATTTGCATTTCATTCGTACAGTTGAAGTTTAGGCTTTGATCTAATTTATATTCCATTTAAGACAAAAAATTGTGCAAAAGTAATTTCCATTCATAATTTTGATGAATCAAAACCCCATAAAATTACTATACGTCCACTGGTCTACACCACTGACTGCTCCAAATAATAAACCAAAACTAAGATTCGGACAAACAAGAAACGTCTCTAACGATTAACATACAGAGGCCACAATCGCATGCGTGCGATCGAACTTTTTGCAATCAGCCTTCTATGAAAATATAATTGACATAAGAGTATAGTGAGACATATAAAAGAGGGACGGAACAATCGTCTTATCAAATAGCAAGCACATTCGTGTCAGTACAGACGTTCGTAACAATGTATAAATTGATAGCCCTATTACTGGTTTCGGGTGGATTCGCCCTGCCCAATCCAGAAATATCTGGTTCGAACCTGAACAGTGTGGAACATACAGTGGAGAATGCAGCTAGGGCGATGGGGAAGGATTGTACCGGCGGGATTTTTAGTCCCACGTGTCTTAAGATCGAAGCGATATCTATGCTTGAGAAATTGAGCTCCAAAGAAGAACTTCGTCTACTACCTGGGGTCAGTTTAGTGAAGGAAGCTAATTCGGAAAATGGGAGCAAGGCTGAGGAGTTTGCGGCTGAACTGGCAAGGGCTTTGCCTTCGAAACCTGATGAGCGATTGGACAAGTACCTTCTGTTCAAGCTTGGGAGCTATTTGGATACGCACACGATCAAATTGAGGCTGCTGGATGAGGGCGCGACTGAGGAAGCCAGGGCTCTGGTAGGAGAGGCGAGGGGTAAAGGAGGGTTGGGAGGAAAGAAGGGTGGACTCGGTGGACTGCTTGCTCTTGGACTTCTGTTCAAAGGTACGTGAAGGATTAGTTCTTTAGGGAGTTATCAAATTACACAAACGTCAAATTGCTAAAAGAAGTGTGTTCATTTATTGAGAATGAGAGATATTCAGTTGAAAAAATTACAAAGATATTAAAATACCAAATCGTTCCAATTACGTGTGTTGTGACCTATAAATTTGGGACTGAAATGCAAAAAGAAATCAAATAAAACGACCGAGGCACAAAAATATTAATATTATGATTTAATAAAAAATTGTGTATGGAAGTGTTATCTCACTATTTAAAAAAAAAGTACGACTAAAAACAAGTAACATTAAAAACCTCATGAAGATCAAACATAAATAATTTGTCTTACCATAATTCCAAATAGAACAAAATAATTTTCATTGATATCTTGTAATAAATTGATAGAGTAAATCTTCTTCTTTCTATGACATACATAAATAATATAAAATACAATTTTTATCACAAAAATGTGTTGTAAATAACCGAGCCATGTTAATCGGTAAATTATAAAACAAAAAATAGTCACGACATTCATTAGGAGCCTGCTTTTTACCAAAACTGAAAGTTATTTAGTTTTCAGTGGTTTACACTTTTAGCGGAACATACCCACGACCACGATCTACATGGCTGCTAATGTATTCCATAGTCTAGATTTTATTAAACTATTTTTTACCATTAACCCCCTTATTAATATAAAGATACACCTAGGATGAACTCGGGATTAAAATGGCATTTCCGTACTAAATGCCACATTTTAAGCAAGTCAACTAGGGTGTAACTTTTATTAATCAAGGGACTAATGTATCAAGATATCCCGTGACAACTCGGCCTTCGCAAGTAAGGTTTGACTAGCAGTTCTTGATAATATCATGGGTGACCAACTTTCCTAAAAGTTATACTACCTACTTGAAAGCTCTATCCTAACTAAATAACCTAAGTCCATCATAACCTAAGTAAGACCATCATTAAAACTCTAAAAAAACTTATTTACTTAAGCAAGTATGCTTTTAAAAAGCACTATGACACCATAAATATGCAATAACAATATTGTATGTATTGCATAAACTTTCAGTGTTTTTTAACCATTATCCATGCCTCGTTATGCTGTAACATCTAACCCAGTTGGTACAGAGTTAAGAATAGCTAGATTTTGAAGAAGGTTAGATTAAATCTATAGTCACAAGCATGCTTTCAGAAAACTATGAAGAATCAATAGTTTTGTGTAACAGATATCCGCTGGGAACAATCTGGATAGAGACAAATAGCTCAGAATCTTTCATTATTTATTCAGAGTCATGCAAAGCTCAAGATCGAACGCGATTTAGGATTATTGTGAACTCCCTCTGCCCCATCTAGGGGACATAGGACCCTTTTGTACGGGTAAATTGTGCGTTGAGTCCCATACCTACCCTACGGGGACAGGGTAGGTTATGTGGGGCTCACCAAGTCAGAAGGACGAGGCATACCCACTAAAAAGACCCCGGTGCTCCGTCACTTGCCGTATGTGGGAGGAAACTATGGGATTCCGGACAAAGCCTTCTTTACCATAGCCCCTCCTGGGGTTTGCAAACCACTATGGAATTTTCCATAGCCTATAGTGCCTATTCACACTCATTGTTTTTTCTTGATACCATAATTCATTTACCAATACGTTATTTTTTTGCTGCGAAAGTAAACAAATTGCATATTAGTATTTGTTTACCGCTTAGAAAATAAGAATGTAGAGACAGCACAGGGCTATAAATTTTGGTTGAAAATTAGCTCTTATTCCAACTGTATAAGATCCCATGGTATTTATAGTTTAGCTGTTGTCTTTACAAAAATGACATTCGTCATTATTATTTACACGCTCCGATTATTTCACACCGGTAATGTAGTGTGCAGTCGGTTAGAGTTCCCTATCTTTTTGGAATGAGAAAACCATTTGATTAGCCTTTGTTTTCCATAAGTTGCTTTGAGCTTAGATCTGCTACTTATGGGACCAGTATTGCCCATCGTTTTGTAGTACAGTCAACTTCAAATAGTTCGTGATAATACCCAAAAAGTGGACAACACAACCCTATTTCAATTGTAACAAAGACGTGTTGCGAACTTTTCGGTTACTTTATGACCTTGACTTTACCTACTTAACTAAACTAGCATTTTTAATATAAAAACAATGTCCAATTATCACCCACGTGTATTTATGCCAGTTCTGTTTTCAACTTTTCAAATCAAAGTTAAAAACATTAACAAACAAAGCATTACACTCAGTTTTAGGCTAACTTTCAGCTAAATAAAGAATGCTATGTATAATTTGATCGTAATTCGTAGTTATTGTAAACAATCGAATGAAACATTCAAATGTATTTCAAATCACACTAAAAACGCGATTCAACCTCAAGTAGGTATAGCTTCAAGCCTTGGAATCTTGGAATAAGGCCTAAAATTCATTAAAATACTTCAAATAGGTACAGTCAATTAGAAAAACGAAGCCCATTTTTATCCATAACTAGCAGCCGCACGCGACTTCGTACGCGTGGATCCCGTTTTACCGCCTTCATCTATCTTACGCTGTTTAGATTTTTTCATACAAATGTTTTTTCCCGCTAACTCCCGTTCCCGTGGGAATTTCGGGAATTACTTTCTTAGCGCATCTCTACGGTACCTAAGCTACGTCCCTTCCAAATTTCAAGTGCCAACGTTTAGCCGTTTAGGCTGTGCGTTGATATGTCAGTCAGTCAGTCAGTTTCTCCTTTTCAACCGACTTCAAAAAAGGAGGAGGTTCTCAATTCGACCCGTATGTTTTTTTTTTTTTTTTTTTTTTTATAGGTAATACCTCAAGGGTGGTCCCATTTAAATTTAATAATAGAAAAAACAACCCCCAAGGGTGGAAAATTGGGGATGAACTTTTTTATACGCAATATTTTTAATTTTTAGTTTTTTTTTGTGTTCACACATTTGAAGTCGGTTTTATTTTTTTTTAAAGTTAATTATATATATTTAGATTCCCATCCATTGAAAAAAAATATGAAATGAAATAGTTTATTCAGTACATAGGCCCTTTCCAGGGCACTTAATACAAGTCCCAAATGTAGCTTGCCCTACCACGAAGTTGGCTCTATTGACACCGGAACATGCTGAACTTATTATGGCATCTAAAGTAATTGTTATAAGTGCTATTTTGCAAGAGTAATGTTTATTCTTATGTGCTAGAGACTGTACAAAGTGAAATAGAGCGTGGAAGCTTAATGGATGCATCCAAGCAAAAGCAATAAAACCTTTTTTTATAGAAAAAGTTGTGCATTTCGATTTAATCATAGCACTTACATATAGTTATTTATGTACTAGATAACGATCAAGAATGTGATTTGAGTTTTAGACTTTTATTGGCTTCGAAATAACATGTAAATTAGCTAATCATTCATAAAAAAATAACGTTATGTTCTTACTCTATTTGCTAAACTTTTTTGTTTTTCTACGATAATGTAATAGAAGAATACCGGTCNTCAGCAGTGGACGTCCTGTGGCTGAATGGCTGAAATGATGATGACGATACGAAATGTATCGTAAAGAAATGACAGTTAAGAGCTTTTAAAAGCTAGCTTTGAGAATAAATGAATTTTGTGGACAGAAGACGTTCTTTTAATAGGTGCTTATTACCCGTTTTCACCGTCAATCCTCAATCCTACATTTTTAAGTGACCCCTATGGTAACACATAACTTTTATGTTCATAGGGGTAACTTAAAAATTTTGGATTGATGGTGGAAATTTGAAATAAAAACTTTTGTAAACTTTTAAAGAAGAGGCTGACAATAAAATAACTGAGTTTCACGCTACATCTTCTCAGCAGGAGCCCACATAATAGTCCTGAGGCAGTAAAGAGTTTAAATAGGACCTTATAAAAGCGCTTTTAAAAGCCTAATTGCAAAACATAAATAACTTATAATTATGATTGTCTGATAAACCTTACACATAGATACTTTTTTCTCATACCACCTTCCTTCCACAGGTACCCTCATGTCGATCGGTCTTGGCGCGCTCGCTTTACTCGCTGGCAAGGCCCTCATGACTGCAATGATGTCTCTCCTGCTCTCTGCCATCATCGGCATCAAATCCCTCACCGGTGGGCAGAAATCCACCACGTATGAGATTGTATCCAAGCCTATATACAGCCACAGCCATTCCCACTCCACGGCACATGAGGATGTGGGAGGATACGGCCATTCAGGGTATGGTAGGAGTATGAATGTAAGAAGACGTTAGAATAAATTGTCAGGAGTTTGGGATACTTTGAGAGAATAGGTCTTTTGTATTGACTATGATGAGGTTTCGTCAATAGCCATTCAAATTCGATATATTTCAGGGCACGTAGGTCCCATAAAAATATTTTGAATCATTCAGACATATTTGGTTGTGATAATTTAAAATTTGATCATAATATTGTCTATGGCTGAAACATCAGACTGGAAATACTTTTTATCTTTTTAAACTCGTATATTTATTATTTTATTTTAAACCTTCTTTTCTTATTCCTATTATATTTATTGCTCATCTCAATTTTCTAAAGCATTATAAAGTCATGTTCAAACATAACTTATCTATATTTTTTTCATGATTAATAGCCTTGATCATGCTACAGCTCTACGTATACAATTCTATCTATCTTTTTACATATATGTATTTTATGTATTGTTATTTGTAATACATTGCTTATTCTTATGGCTTCAATTTCCACAAAGTTCTCTCAAAGTGTTTTCGAATATTTTGATAATTTATTTTATAGTTTTGTATAATGACGAAATTGTTTCCAAACGAACCAACGAAACGATAATAAATTATTTATTATTATTTAATAATTTATTTTAGGTTAAGATCACGATGTTACTTTTTTCCAACTTTTGTATTTTATTCTTCAGTATTATATTCTGTAAATGTGTCATAATTTGTGTATTGTGTCATGTATATTTGTTATATTTTTTGTATTTTACGTATTGGTCTGTATTTTTTCTTATACTCCTATATCGAATTTTATATTATGTAAGTATGTATTTCTTTATTTTGTATTATTTTTTGTGATATTAGTTTATTTTATTATTTTTGTTTTACCAAGTTCCTTACATAACTATAACTCGTTATGATATATGTACATAATATCTTATTTATATTTATATCTTTGATAAAAAAGACTGTTTACCGCTTAGTCTTCTTAGCAATAGATCTTTCCTTGTACATAATTTATGTATAAATATTTAGTTTTTATGTGTACATATTTTCTATTATTACTTCATGTAAAATGTACTTGCTCAATTTAGCATCTTTATATTCGTTTAATTTTCATACTTCTGCACCCAAAGAAAATAAAGTTGGTGTTTTATAAAAACCTTGTTTTATTTTACCAATTTCAAGATTTTTTGATGCATGACAAGGCAGGTATTTGACCGCAATCGCACCTGGTGTTAAGTGATATGTAGTTGAGGATGGTACATAATTATCTGCCCTGTAAGTGCCTATTCACTCTCGCATTGAAAGAGCCCGGATTATAGTGTTCAGAAAAGACAACAGCAGGTTTTGAATTTATACATATTTTCAAGTTAGCAACAAGGCTAATGTAGAGTTACAGATTTCTAGAATACAAACATTACTAATTATTTACGTCACAATTACGTTATTACTTCACAATATAAGATAGTGAAAAGTAATTAAATTAAAAGATAGCACAAATTATAGCTTTGCGACCAAAAAAATTGCCATATCACAAATAAAATCATATTTATAACAATCAAACACCACGAAAATAATAATAACTTTAGTAAAATCATGTTAATTAATTAGTCATAATGATTTGTTAAATTATTAAAAGTGAAATCATTCAATGAGTGGAAAAGCAAACGTACAATTACAAATATCCGCGGCATATTCATCAAATAACTTAATTGGTATCAGTCATTCGGTATCACCTTTCATGTTATTAATGTATTTGCATTACCATACTAAAATACAGATTGTACTAACAAATGAAATAGTCTCTGAAACTACGTAATTCGATATTACAGTAATGTATAAAAATTATGAAAAGAAATTTCCACAAGCTTTGTCAATCAAAGTAATACAGTTTATTTATAAACATTTTTTTTTGCAAATTAATTAAACTTACTGTACTGTTCTTATAATTTTACTGTTGTAATACTTATGAATAACATACTAATTACCTTATCTTTTGATAGATCTGTATCTGATTAAGTTTTTAATAGTTCCGCTTTCGTGAACACCCTATATACTCAAAATTAAATCTATAATGCCATTATCCATTCACAAAACGTTATGCCTGTCTAACATCAGAGTCAGTATCGAAAGTACCTTAATCTAAGCAAAACGAAATAAAAGAAAAATGATCCACTTTCTTCACTGATTGGCTAATGTTTTTTTAGTTTATTTTTAGTGAAAGTATATTGTTTGAAATGTAAGCAGGGATGTTATGGATATGAAGTTTCGGATACGGTTACGGATATTAGAATAATATTATACCGGTTTCGGTTAAGGTTAAGGTTAGTAAATCATTTCGGATTATCCGAAAGTTTCGGATAATTTTGGTTACGGATATTGAATTTTAAAAAGGTAAAATTCAAATAGCTATATGCTGCGTGACCCACATAGCCACTTTATGTACTATGACGGTACCTATGATAAAGGTAAAACAGGTATATCAGAATGATGCCGTGGGATGCCAGAAAAGTAACAAATATTAAAAATATTAAGATTTAGACTCCGCCTTTATCCGAAACTTTTGAATCGGTTTCGGATATTTTTTTATTTCGGATATCCGATAGTTTCGGTTACGTTTACGGATATCCATACATCCCTAATGTAATGTAAAAGATGGCGTCGAGTTCAGCCTAGCAGTTCTAATGACTGTGTTTGCAGACTAAGATTAGATCATTTAAATGACAACTAGATCAGATGAAATTATGTTAAGGTGAATAACTTTGAAGCACTTTCCTTCGAACTGTAGGCTTCCTTACTAACCGGTCTTTCAATTTCGGTTGTGGCTAGAGCTTTTATGAAACAAATTAAGATCAAAAATTGATTTAAATGAAAGCAAGGATTCAAGCTTTTTATGATTGGTGGAATATTAAAATTGATATAGAACATCGATCCCATATCCAAAACCGAAGTCGCAGGCGGCCGCTAGACAACAATAATAGATTGTTGACTAGCGGCCGCCTGCGACTTCGTACGCGTGGATCCGTGTGCAAAAGTGAGCACCTAAGTTTTAAAAGGAACCCCCATGAAAGATTCGAGACTTCCAGCAGTTGTAGTTTCTAAGATTTCGTGATGAATGAGTCAGTCAATCAGATCAGTGACTTTTCGCATTTATAGTTAAAGATGTCCAAAATATATATTTTTATTAATTTAGCGACTCTTTGATAGAGGACTATCTCGCCTCTCGATGTAAGACGGTCAGTGATGGCTGAGCGACAACGCACCTGTAACGCCCCTGGGTCTGCGGGTGTCTATGGGCGACGGTAATCACTTACCATCAGGTGACCCGTCTGCTCGTTTGCCTCCTACTCCTATCACATAAAAAAAAATCTATAGATATCTTGGAACCCATAGCTGAATATAGAGCCATAGAAGGAATAGACCTCCCTCCATTAAGTCTATCTTCTACTATGCCTTTTTACCTTTTAAGTAATAAAAGGTATTAAAAAGGTAAAAATTTAAAAAAGTTTTTTTTTTTACCTTTTAAGTAATAAAAGGTAACAATAAAGATTATTATGTTAGAGCTAATGGTTAACACAAGACACACAAGATTGTCATTATTTACGACTCTGACATTTAATTTTCTACATGCAGTAACTTCTTAGGTACTTAAAATTTTCTTATTGATATCTTCGTAATTAATCTAACATTATTTCCAACTTATATTATAATACGATGATTTCAAACAGCTAAATATATTTCATAATAAAAAAAAAATTGTAGAACAAAGACATGTACCTAATTACTAGAAATAACTTCGCTATTTATCGTGAGAATAACATATCATAGTCCTTTAATATACGAGTTTATTCCATAACAGATTGGATAATTACCAAACAAAAGTTTAAAATACTTTGATTCGCCATAAACTGTTGATATGACTCTAATAGGACTATAGGAAGTCATAACATGCCTTCTAAGAGCCAAAGCACACGATGCGTTGTGTCACCGCACTGGTCGTGTGCCCGCCACAGATATTTCTATGTAAGACGACGCAGCGACACCGCTCCGGCGTCGCACCGCCACCACAACGCATCGTGTGCTTTGGCTCTGCTAAAAGTCACGTTATTGTAACCAAACTGAGAAGCAATTTATAGTTTCTAAATAAATAATTTAACAACCGAGGCTCATCATAATTTAACAACCGAGGATCCCAAATAATAAATTATTGAAAAGCTATTAAGTTTACAAAAGCTCTACTTAATTCAATTCACAGATAAACAGTTCATAATTGCTTTTCATTGTGACTGTACATAATGTGACTATTTACTGTTGCATTTTCAAAATAGTCTCTGAAAAGCTTATTACAATTTGTCAGTATAAATATTTATATTATTTCAGATAAGTTTGTGTTAATTAAATTAATGTTATATCTTATTGTAGAATTACTTAGCTGTATCGATGATGCATATTTCGTAACACTCAATAGAAATGCTAAAGGTACAAAACGAATGCACTTTACTTTTGCACCTATTTGTTCGAAAGTAAGCAGTTCGGTTCCACTCTCAGCATCTACAGCAATTGTTATTTTTTTCCTTATTTCAGTTTCTATGCTTAGCGACATCGTGCTCTTATTGTACTTGACTTGGAAGTATAAATAAATTGGAATCTGGTCGAATATCACAGTACAACACAGCCGATCGACGAAATGTGTTCAGCTTACCTTTACCAATAAAGTATAGTGATAAATACAGTGACAAAATGTGTAGCAAATATGTGGTGCTCTCGCTCGTTGTGGTTTTGTGTTATGTGTACGATACAAGTGGACTTATAGAAGATGGGGGTGACCATAACACCCTCACGGTTGAACCTGAAAAGAGTCAACCCAACGCAACGGAAAGAACTGGACGATTTCTGCAGAAGGAGTGCAGCAATATGTTCAGTTCTAAGTGCTTGAAACTCCACGTGCTGTCCTTCTTGGAGGATCTGAGCTCTCGCGATGAGCTCGCCCTCTTCCCAGGATTAAGCATCGTGAAGGAGAACGTGTCAGGAGTATTGAGTCCTGAAGAAATGGCTGCGGAACTTTCGAGGCAATTTCCTGGGAAGCCAGAAGAGAAATTGAATAGGTACTTGCTGTACCGCCTCCAGAATTATCTGGACGGTCACTCCTTGAAGTATAAGCTGTTGGATCCTCAGACGACTAAGGAGGCCATGGAGATGACGAAGGGTGACCAGGCCAGCGCTAGAGGAAAGGGCGGCGGCGGCGGCGGCGGTGGCGGTTTTGGCGGCGGCAAGGGTGGTGGTGGCGCCCTCTTGGCATCTGCTTTGATGATGAAAGGTAAGTAATTACGTCTCTAATGTTATACAATTATTTATTAAACAGTATATGTTATAGATGTAAGAAAGCTCATAAATTAGAAGTTATTTATAATGATGATAATACGGCTTTTCTTTCATCTTGTGATTTATCTACGAGTATTCAACGTCTCTAATTACCTACTATGCATCATTTGATCACTGACCATAACTGTTTGTTTCGATCTACAATATATCTGGGACTCTAGTCTTGGGACTAGAGTCCAATACTCTAGTATTAGATTCTGTCATCCAGAGGTCCCGCGTTCGATTTGAAATCAAGAGAAAAACATTTTGGCGATTAGCACAGAGGCCTAGCTAAGCTTTAAAATTTCAAGACTTTCTATTTCTTTATTGAATTCAATCCTCTGGCATCATTCTAAGCTACGCCATACGTCAATCAGCTAAAACATTTCTAGCAACAGGCAACGAATGTAATTTCAAAGATTTATTCTATTTTTCTCCATTTCCAGGTGCCCTCGGCGCTGCAGCCCTTGGAGCGCTGGCCCTTCTCGCAGGCAAGGCTTTGATGACAGCTCTGATGTCTCTCTTGCTCTCCGCCCTCGTCGGCCTTAAGGGCCATGGAGGCCACAAGTCTACAACCTACGAGATCATCACCAAGCCAGAAGTCTCCCATCACCACTCCCACAGCCATGAAGAACACCATGAGCATGAGCATGGTCACCATGGAGGGTACAGGAGAGCGTATGATATGAATTACAACAGTTACATGCCATATGATACCACCTCTAGTTAGAATTTGTTCAACAGATCCACGCGTCACTAAATGGCCGATGTTTAAAGATCGGCGCTTACAAGTGACAAGCAAACTTTTCTGAATTCGTTAAAAATCGCATTTAAGCTTAAGCTACTATAACATTAAAAGGAAGAAATTTCGACATAAACTACGCTTTTCTGAATAGAATTTTACAGTAGACAGAGTGAGGACCAAAAAAAAGAAGTTGAAATTATTAGGGTCGTGAGCAAGCATTGCTTATACTCTCTATAAAACTTCCAGCCATAAGCCTTACTCTTCAGTAATATTATGGTCACCATTGTCATTATTTTGTTTATGTGAAAAAGCTTGTAATGGCAAATCCAAATATGTGACGATATTGATTGTTTAAATTTTGGTTATCATGACAAAAAGATTTAAATAGATTCTTTGTTAAAAATATTGCTAATAATTTCCGAGCTGAAATACAGGCTGTAGTTCAGAAACAATTAGATTTAAGATATTTATTTCTCTAGTTTTAGTTAATTTATTCTTTCCTCGTTGTCACTTTGAATTTATTATTGCAGACTTTTGTGGGCGTGTTAAAGATGTTCCTATTTATTTATTTATGCATTTATTTCTAGAATCATACATTTATTATTTTTATTCTATAATATTTCTTCCCACCGCTAAGTATTTTAGCAATTGTTTTTATTTTCTCACATTATCTACCTCGATATTTACGTATTTTAACTGTTTATTGTTTATTTTCACTTGTTTTTTTATTGTGTTACTCGTTTAAAGCGGTATGTCTGTGATATACTTTATATTATTATTTATTTTATGCTTTCATAAAGTGTAATGTATTGTCTTCAAACCAAATATAATGTTAGCTCTCGTTATTTATTCGTTAAGCTTGTTATTGTATTTATTGACAATGAAAATGATATAATAATAACTCTTTGTTTTATTACCTTGTCCGTATTAAACAGGGTTATTATTTTTGGATCAGAATCGAAATATTAAAAATAGTTATTTTGATGATTTTTGACAACTGTTTTGATGATTTGAAAATCGATATGTTTAATTAGACACAATAGCAATCGACAATCGATTACTGGCACTGTAAGTAGCAGTTTTTTCACCCAGTAAGCCACGCTAGTCTCAAAAACTGCTGGTCCGATTTGAAAAAACATTTAGGTGTTGGATAGTCCATATAATGAGAAAGGTTTTAAGCTCTATAATATTACGACACGACTTATAAAGGATGAGCAGTATTAAAAAATGTTGCGAATAATAGAAAAAATATTGAATATTATGAAGTCACGGGCACAACTAGTTAGGTATATGATCGTTACTAGTAGGTATTTTAATGACTGTATGCTTTATCTTAGATTAAGTTAATGAATCTTTATATCCGCTTAGCGTGCTTTTGAAAGTTCTACCTTAACTCCAAACCTTAACGATGAAACTTGTACAAAGACATCAACCAAAGGCTTCCACTAGTTTATGCCTAAACCACAATAATGTTTACTTAGCCCGAACTTAACTACAAAATTACATATTTTCACCCAACCGCCATGACATTCGTCCCACAATCCTATAAACAATAAGAAAATAAATAAAACTAACCGACTGAAGTTAATTCATTTGATATCCATTTTTCTAAGTGAATTGTAGAGATGGCTTTAAGAAAAATAGTTGTTAAATTAACAATTTTGACTTTAGTTAACTCTTTAGCTGTTAATGATATTAGTTTAACAAATGAAGAAAATAAAACAGTGAAAACGTCTCCATTAGAAGACGCAGATGGAAATCTAACCAATGTATTCAATGGAGTATACGTTGAGTGTTTTCTGCATTTATCGTACTCGTGTGTTCAAAGAAAAACGTTGTTGTACCTGAAGGAACTTAATAAGTTGTCTGAGGTATCTGTGATTGGAGACTATGTAAAGTTCGGTAAGATTTTTTGCTATAATAAGAAAAATATTTCTATAAGACTTATTCAGTTTGTTACGTTTCTATGTGAAAACAGCTGATTATCATTTTGAGGAATTAGTTAGAGACACAGATCGGAAATACAAACAAAATAGAGTCGCTATTTTACACTTGAGTACGGCTCTACATTATTTGTGTCTTAAAACTTTTAAACGTGTACCGCATTTATAAGAAAACTTAGTTAATGTCAATGCCTGTTACACATTAGGTATTAAACATACATCGTATAAAAAAAATCCTTTCCAATTTTTGTGTTTATCTAATCAATCTAGTTATTTATTAGGTACCTAGTGTATAAAATACAGGCTATAAATATCTACGATAGCAGAACAACTAATAAGTAATCGTACCTATAAATTGATTAAAAATAATACAATGTACTTGAAGTGTAGGATACCACGAAAACTATATCGTGGTCACCAAAAGATGATGGACCATGCATGATACTACTACTTTAAAATACTCCATTACAGAATATACTACTTCATACCTGCGTAGTGTTTACAACAACATTATAAAGTTTTGCTAAAATCCTTCCATTAAGTAGGTTTGCGCGTTCATTCATCTCCACTTCACAAGAGACCATTGACGTTACAGTAAAGTTAAACACCAGTGACCCAGACCTCGTGGAAGAGGACACCAGAGATAAGAACTCCGAGGACCTGTCCTTCATGATCGACAAGGCTGTGGATAGTTTCTTCAACAACCACGTCATGAAGTTTAGCGCGATGGGACGAGACGTCTCTGTGCCTAATACTGGTAAGTTTTTGGAGCTTGAATTCTGAAACATAGCTTAAGAGTCCTTTCTGTTGGTCGATAGTTTAGTCTGATTCCTAAATGTACGAGGAATCGACCGATACTAAATCGGGGGAATGTGCGAACTTTCACATACTATTAATACTGAATAAAAGCCCAACATGGATGATGATGATGGACCGACGACATCGTAAAGGTAAGCGCGGGACGCAGGCAATCGATCAACGTGGAAAGCATTGGGGGAGGCCTAAAGCATAGGCAGTGGACGTCCTATGGCTGAAATGATGATGATGATGATGAAAAGCCCAACCAAACTATTTACCGACTAAAAATCTGTAGTCTGTCGAGATCAAAAAGTTCAGGATAATATTATTCACATTCCTACTCAAAAACAAGGCTTTAAATTAAACCGCATCTATGTCTAGTGGTAAAACCACCTGTCTCAATCCCAGAAGTCCAGGGTTCGATTCCCATCGAGGCCAAACTTTCTGCTCGATTTGGTGGGTAGTACCTAGGGCTTGTTATTAGTTCGACTAACTAGTACCATTTTACTCAAGTCTGTGGCAAACGCCCAATTTAAAGTTTTGTTGCTCAGACTTTTCTATTAGGCATCTCGTTGAGAATATGTTTTGTAAATGAGCATTAGAACTAAAATTCCATTAATTTAATTTTGCAGTAGAAGGCTTTGTGGGCAGAAAAAAAAGAAAAGGTGGTGGCGGCGGCGGTGGCGGCCATGACCACGGAGGAGGCGATGGAGGCAAGAAGAAGATGATGATGATGGCCATGATGTGTATGAAGATGAAGTTGATGATGGTAAGTCATTTAAGTATGGTTCCAAAAGAGTAGAATAGGACTTTTTCCGTGGACATAGAAAAAGGAGACTTGAGACAATAAGAATAAAAGCAAATCAGGCTTCCCCAATTTACCTGCCCAGTAAGAAGTGTAAGCCAAATGCTCCATTCACTAAAAAAAAATTTTTCGTTACTGTACAAAATGTTTCATTACACAAATGAGTGACTAGCGAACTGAGTGTTAACCTACAACTAAACCTAGCTCACTACAAAATAGTTTGTTTGTGTTTTACAAAATTTTGTTCCTTATAACCATAGTACCTACTCTGCCGCACAATTTATAAACGCAGTAAGTACCACTTACTGCATTTATGATTGTTTTGAATATTCTGAATCCTGACATCGCGATCTATAAGAATCAAAGACCCGTTTTTTTCTATCTATCTTAGAACGGAAGATACATGTTATCATAAACGCAGTAAAGAGCAGATTGTGGGTTTCTTCACATACTATGTTAGCAGTAAGAGCACATAATAACTTAATATTACGTGAATACTCGCGCTTACTTAATTTGCTACACAGTAATAGTGCAGTATGTACCAATTACATCATTCTTATTATGTTTCTACAATTGTTAAGTTCACCTTGCACATAGTACCTATATGTGCAGTAATTCCACTTAAACACACACTGATATTATGTTTCCATAGGAAAAACAGATGACTTGTACTTAATATTAATGCAGTAATTACAATTATACTGCGTACATACTAAGGATTGTCAGAGTGCTGCCTAGGTGTTAACATGTTATGAACGCAGTGGCTGACTCTTACGTTATTGGAAGAAGTTGAAAACCTGTCCAAATGACAAATCTAGCCGAAGACCCAAGAGCTAGATTGACCCGACACTATACCGAAGATATCCCGGACGTGTCTGTACGAGATTAGAATGGCTCTCAAACAGCTGAAAAACAACAAGGCACCGGGCGATGATGGAATCACGGCTGAGCTTCTGAAATCAGGCGGAACGCCGGTACTAAAGGCTCTTTAGAAGCTATTCGATTCCGTCATCCTTGAGGGAAAAACGCCTACGGCATGGCACAGAAGTGTGGTGATACTCTTCTTCAAAAAAGGCAACAAAACCTTGTTGAAGAATTTATTTTATACCCATCTCACTTCTGATTCTGTTTTTGAGAGTCATCATGAATGGTTTCACGCGACATCTAGCCTCCCGAACAAATCGGTTTCCGATAAGGCTTTAGTACGATAGACCACATACTTATCTATGGCAGAAAACTGAGGAGAATAATCAGCAACTTTGTCTGGCATTTGTGGTCTATGAGAAAGACTTCTCTCTTCAAGCTACAGTCTCTCCAACGGTGCCAAATTTACTATAGATATAATCGTTGAAGGGCTTGTACGAATAGGCCACAATGTCAGTCCGTCTCCGGGATCAGGACTTCAGTTGCAGCGAGGGGTCAGACAGGGAGATGTCATATTTCTAAAACTGTTCACTACCACTCTGGAAGATGTTTTCAAGCTTCTGGACTGGAGCGGATTGGGCATAAATATCATCAGCGAGTACATCACCCATCTTTGATTCGCGGACGATATCGTAGTCATGGCTGAGAACGTGGAGGATCTAAGCTCAATCCTCGATTGCCTCAATAGAGCCTCTCAACAAATGGGTCTTTAATGGACAAGACAAAAATCATGTCAAATGCCGTGCTGTACCCACTCCTCTGAAGGTTGGAGACACTATAAGTTGTCTGATGGCCGCTGGGGCAGGAAAGTTCTTGAGTGGCGACCATGAGCTGGAAGACGCAGCTTGGGCAAGCCTCACACTAGGTGGACCGATGATCTGGTGAAGGTCGCGTCAGGTGCCTGTATGCGAGCGGCACAGGACCGGTCTTTGTGGA